GGAGGTAATGTTACGGGATGCTGCACTTCTTTCAGCGACAGAACAGTAAATTCGATTGTGAAGCCGTCTGAAGCCGCTTGTTCTTGAGGTACCCCCTTTTGAAGAAAGCCACTTCGAGTGTGCGTTATTGAAGTGTTGCCAATGCACCAGATTTTGATGTTTGTTTACTGTAGCACTGTGTCTGTGACTGAAAGAGTTATGCCACGATTATATGAACAGTCTGACAGTATTACACTCTGCAATAAAAACAGCTAGCGTATAACCCTGTATGAAATCCGCACAGAGTTGAACTTTCCAGGTTAATTAACTGCCTAAAGCAAATGCTCCATGAACTCGGAAATTTTAACCTCGCCTAATACAAAATTTTGGTTTCTACACTACAGAAGAACAACGCAGCCTAGTAAGTTATTCATTGGTTAAAGCGTATATGACATGATATGAAGACGTTAAGAACGTTTAACATGCATTCTTCGTGATAAACACGTCGCGACGCCACTCCTGCCGAACAATATTTTGTTCAAAATGCCTTCCACCTAGATCATGCAACAAATGACTGCAGCGCATTTCTGTGAAACAGTACTTAATAATCAGTTGCGAAAATGTTTAATAACCACCATTTGGCGCATATCAAAAGCAATATTCGTTTCATTGCAATATAACTGAGTTATCAAACAGAGCAATTCTACAAGCCGTTACTAATTCATGGGAGCACTATAATGAGGAACGGATGCGTTAAGCAGACTAAAGTCTTAAGGCACTACAACATCTACAACGTTTTCGTCTATAATTCATTGTTGCATAAACGATGCATTTTTGAGCCAACCAATGACCTATTCATTGCAGTAACATAAAAATTTTCCCGTAGTTACATGTGCGTGCGAGATTGACCAACATAACATGTCTCAACCTACATATACATAATGTAAAATATAGATGTATAGATGCAAAATTTAGGCAGATGAGGCTGGCTTTGCTGGACGTACTGGTTGATCCTAAACCCGCTACTCTTGCCGGCGAAATTCAGACATCGACCATGACTCTAGCGTGCAACGTAACAGAACAAGATATAGACAGATCCGCGTTCAGAGAAATATTGTTCCTTCTACCACAAGGAAGGGTCAAATATTCCTGACTGGTGGCCAATCTCATCTCATAATATTATAATCCATTTTATAATATCACCTTTGGAGACGTAGGTTGCGGATGTCAAATTTACTTCGCGTGATGTTAGGCACATTAGTTGGCGGAAAAATGACACTGACTGAGGAGCTGCAGGTTGAGAAGATATACATTTCCATGGGTTATCATCTGATAATCACTGTTTCGTTTGCTTAGCCGCGGTCTGATTACAGGATTATTTGTAGGTCTCTATACAGATAGCACCTTTTACCATATTTCGCCATAACATGCGGTTCTCTACTTTGGTCGCTACGCAACCCACGGCGTAGGCGGCATTTTAATTTTTTTCAATTACCACCTGCAGTTGTACAGAATTCAAATTTAATCACCCAGAATATGATCATCATATTCTCTGCAATCTCCTCGGCAAATTTAAAAGTGCAGTGCCGGGTAATGATTAGCGCAATTATTCTTGAACGATTGTGCGGCGCATTTCATTTAATACCGAAAAAAAGGCAAAACAGAAGTGACATAGCCATAGCATAATAAAACTATTAAACTCTACATACGTAACTATGGTTACTGCGATGCAGCCAGTGCTAACGTTTGGCGTATTTGTACACCTTTACTTTTGATAAACTCAAGCACAGCCTCAATCCGCTTGAAAAAGAACTGAAAAGGCAAAACTGTGATCGCTTATCTTGTCTTGCACTACCACAGTACCAGAAAGCATTCATTACGAATTGTAATGTAATTCCTCTTTCAGATAAATTTTTCGACATGAAACAATTTCGTATTTAACATTCAAAATTATTTTGATATTCTATAAGTTAAAGATAGTCATATTCAAGGAAGAACGCAATAATAACAGTGTCTGCTTCTGAGAGCTCGACGTTCGATTAAATTTAACTGCCAGCGATTAATTCTGATTGATCAGCTTTTCTGTCTGTAATAAATCACATAATCAAATAGCTAATGAAGCCATTCCTCTTGCACCTCGCATTCTTCTGTCACTGGTTTCATGAGATTCGCGAGAATGGTTCTTAAATACTGAACTGACAATGAACTAAAAGCCAACATATCTTCTGATTTCATGGTTGGCATGAAAACAGCAAGAATAACCTGTTTCACCGCTCCGACCTTTCAACCGATTGTCGTGATCATAGGAAACATTACACCCTGATGAAAGTTGATATCAATTCAGTCAAAGCATCATAACGTTGATTACAGACCTTTTATTGTTTTCTATGTTACTAGCCATAGAATCAGAAGATATATTTGTTTCCAGTCATCCATGGCACGGAACTGATATGAGTTTTAGAAGCTGCTGAAAAGGAGTATTTTGTTCATGTACTGGCCGTTTCATCATCTGACAAATTTGATAAAAAGTGGGACAATCTCGCTAAACATTAAGCAAAGTCTGCCACGTTAAAAGAACAGTTGAATCTGCTTTAAACCAAAGCAGTGCGGCTTCTTTCTTAACGGGAAAGTTTATTTTTTCAATGAGCACTCCTGTTATCCCTGGCACATAATAAAGAATTCGCCACTTCTGAAAAACAAAGCGGATTTAATGCTCAGCGGATTGTTTTCTTGATGCATGAATAAAAAACCGAAACGCAAAACAGAGACGGAACGGTTTTAGTAACAGTCGATGAGTTTGGTTTCCAACATCGGTAACATTACCCAGACTGAATTAGCCTGAGTCAGACTGCTACGTTCTGCAAAAGTCTGCATCTGCTTGATGTCTGGGTTTCATGTCCATGCATTAAAAAACAAGCTGATGAATTATCGATCCAGAATCAAAAATTCTTTCAAGGAAATTTCATAGTTTTTTCATTAGGAGAATCAATCAAGGGTCTACCTTAATACAAATATCCACAAATATCTGAAAATCGTTCTTTCGAACAAAGTAATAACGTTGCATATTAAATTTTTGTAAGACTGATAGTTTCGAAAACATTCAGAGCACCGAACGCTATCATTTAGAACCAAGTCCTAATTAACCATCGTTGCCGTGACCACTATATTTCACTATCGCTTTGAATCGCTCTCCTGGCGACAGACCGTATTAATCCGTAAGTTCATAGCCTACAATTCCTTTCTGAATGCCGGTGCGGCAACTTGAAGGCTTCGCGACAGTTCGCCGATCACACTGGATTCTGAGGAGCGACAATACCAGCTGTTCAGAATATATCAGCCATCTGATCACAGACCTACCCCGCGTCACAACTGCAGCAATTATGAACATTTTAGTTATTACAGTTTTTCTTCTATTTCAATGTCATGCTGCAAACCACAGAATCTTATTCAGCAAGATATTATTCGTTGATGTCTGAAACTGAGAGACTACAATATAATAAACCTTTTCTGCAGCAAGTCGGTAAGCTACAGCTCAGCTAAAAAATGAATAAATCAAATAATTTACCTTTCCATCGTCGCAACAATTGCTCCCAGACATCGGGTTCGTCGCCGCGAAAACTGCAATCCAAAATCTAAACTGTTTTGCTAAAAACTCAAGATTACGATGAATTGGATGACACCACCTACATTCATGTCGCTCAACTGGTTCAATTCAAAGCCTTTGGTAATGGCATCAGCTGATCGGCGACGTTCCTTTACGATCTCGTGCCGCAGTTGCTGTTCTTCGAGTGCAAACGACGCGTCTTCCTCAGTTATGTCTCGAAGCGTTTCATCGTCTTCGTCCGCCACCTGGCGGTCGCAGCAAACGCTTTCGCGATGTCTACAGGGAAAGGCGCACGTCTCTTGTCATCGCCGCAAGTGCCATACCTGGTCGTCAGTGCCTTTCCTTTGCAGCTAGTCTTGCTGGGGCTGAGCGAGAGGATGTCACGCTTTTGGCAAGGATCAGAGCGACTGTGTTTCAGCACATTCCGCTGCAAGCTATCGCTATATGATGAAACATTCCGAATATTTAACTGTTTCTGCAAAATACAAAATTGGCCAAATTTGGTAATGTACTAAGTAAGAACCTTGATGCCAGTAGTTTCAGGATGCTTATTGCATTTAGCAGCGGCTACGTCACGGCATGATTCCAGGTTTTCGACGCTCCTGCTACGACGCCCGTGAGCTTTGATCTTGCAGTTCACAGAAAAGGTGCTGCCTGCGGATTTCCGAATAGTCGACAACGATGTGTACTTTGACTGCTGAACAGACGAGTTGCCGCAAGTCACTCCAACCTGACGCCGCGCCAAAGATTTTGGCATGATTATATCACCGTTTGAAGATTGTGAATCTGCCAAAACCGTTCCACGTCTACCTCTTGAATAAGTTACAAGCCGCCACCCATCGCTGTCATCTAAAATACGACTCGATGTGTACGCACAATCTTGATCTTTGGACATGTTTACAACCAGAGCATAAGCCACGAGAACAACAATGCCCTAACGAGTATTCTTAAATAACAAGTGCCTTGAGACATGATCCTATGTCTAAAGGACTGGTTAGCTGATTAAGCGCATGCCAATGACTGAACAGCTATTTAGTTCTCTCAAACTACAGAGACCATCAAATCGACAGTTTTCAAACAAAAATAATAATTCTGCAAAGCAGATCAACCTTTGGATGTAAGATAACTTCTGTTGTTACGAGTAAAAGTGAACCTTCAATTCGACTGTAACATCTGCGGCATCAAAGCTTCCCTGGAATGTTACAACAGACAAAATTCCATGGCTCATTAGAATCGTAACGAAATGCGCTGCTAAAAAATATGAAACGATTTAGCGTGAATGAAATAACTCTTTATTGTGAAATTTCACTGAAATGATACGGTTTGCTAAACATAAACAGTGTGATAACTCTAAGAGGATTCCAATAAGTAGATATGTCGTCAGTGCACACGCTGAAAGTTCATTTTATTCACAATTCTGCAGGGCGCTAATTATCTTAAACCTAATTATAAAGATACAAATTTAAATACAGCAAAATCCCGTCATAATGCGGATTTGTGGGGACAGAAGGAACAACGCGTTATCGGCAACCCGCGGAATATCGCAAAAATTTCGTGGAAAATAAATATGAAAGTATAAATACATACGCTTTGCCAGATTTAACTGCAAAATACGACAAAATAACATTACAATAAAAAAATTCATACTTCATTTAATCAATAATGTTTATAGTCCGATAATGTCTTCGATGCGACAGCTGATGGCATTTCTTCGCCAAATTGTATTTTGTAAATACAACAGATGAAGATGATCACAGTCACTTTGCCTTTCACTAATTCATCCGTCACTAATTCTATCCATGACAATGCGAATTTTGGGGGTCTCAAAAGCTCACTCCTCTCTTGATTCTTACTGCCATCGTCCGATAAACTGTCCTCCTTTCCTCTTCCGCGGCTCTGGACTTCGGCTCCAATCTTCATCGTCCCTATAAACAGCGACGGGAGCTTCATCACCATCACCAAGTCATTCCCACAAGTCATTCACCTCCATTTTTTCAGAAAGAGCACTGGAAGTTTAACGTGCATCAAATGTGAACTCGTTAGAAAGTCACATTTACTACCATTGAATATTAAAAGGGATGCCAAGACACAGTAATTATTTTACGTCAGCGCAGCCAGCAGTCGACTGCAGTAAATTCGAACCAAGCTGCTTATGTACGAAATAACTCACGGTAAAATTTGAAACGATGTTAATTTCGCAGAAAATATACAATAAAATTCGAATCAACTTGTTTAGAAACATAGAGTTAAATTTAAAACAAATTCATTAACAGAGAAAATAAATAGAATCATTTTGGAGGACATGACTAGGCCCGTAGCATAACCGAATCCGCTAAACACTGAAACGCGAGTTATACGGGTTTTATTGTAATTATTTTAGAGACAAGGTATCAAAGTGGACGTACTGAAATACTAGTGACCTTGACTACACGTCATGAGATATATTCATGAAAATAAGAAATAAGTGAAAAATAAAACAAGACTATGATAAACGTTACATGATAACGACAAACGTAGGTCTTAAATTCTCATACATCACAAGTGTACAGTTGGAGTGGCTAAGATTGTGGCTCAGTTGAACTGCGTCATTCCAAATGATAGCGAAAAGTTAGACAGCAAAAAGAGTTCATCAGGAGCCACTAAATCCTTTTTAAATAAACTATATTTTCTATAAACGTGTCACTTTTCGAGTCAAACTGCGTAGTAACACCACTGTTATGCTTCCATAACACAGAACACTTCTTAAAC